GACTATTCACCCACGGCTACAAGATCGATCCCTTTTTCCGCTCAGCCATCCATCAACAGCATACCACAGCCACCGGGCCATATTTTTATAAGCGTGGTACTTCTCGTATTTGGGTACCAGGCTACGATTTACTTCGTACCCTTCTAATCCAGGAATCCCATGACAACCCTACCTCAGGACACTTCGGCGTCGATAAAACCACGAAGATGTTGCAGCGGAATTACTATTGGCCGAACATGGCCGATGACGTGCGCAAGTACGTGTCCTCCTGCACTGCCTGCCAGATCATGAAATCGTCGCATCAGCGAGCAGCCGGACTACTACAGCCGTTGGACCCACCCGAGCGACCCTGGCAACACGTCACGATGGACTACGTGACAGGACTGCCGGCCAGCCCCAGCGGAAACGACGCCATCCTCGTGGTCGTTGACCGACTCACAAAAATGGCGCACTTCATCGCCTGCCAACAGACAATCACCGCCGAACAAACTGCGCAGCTGTTCATCGCGAACGTCATCCGCCTGCACAGACTGCCCTTCGCCATTATTTCGGCCCGAGACCCAAAATTCGCATCGAATTTTTGGCGCCACCTGTGGGACCAATTCGGCACCAAACTCCAATTCTCATCCGCCTACCACCCACAAACCGACGGGCAGACCGAACGCGTTAACCAAACCATGGAGCAGCTCATTCGCACCACCTCTACTGACCCCTCGACATGGGAGAAATCCCTTCCACTACTCGAATTCGCGTATAATAACGCGACCTCAGCGACAACCAATCAATCACCATTTTTCCTCAACTACGGACAGGACCCGGTTGTACCCTCTACACCGAACATCGAGTCACCAGTGCCCCGGTCCCAGAAATTTGCTGACGACATTCTCGCCACTCACGAAAAAGCAGCTGAGGCCATCCGGAAAGCTAACCTAGTCGCAAGCCGACAAGCCGATCGACATCGACGCGACGTCACTTACAAAGTGGGAGATCTTGTCCTTCTCGACACTCGCAATTTGCGGCTGCCGATCCCAAGCAAACTCCGACCCCGATTCTGCGGACCTTTTCAAGTGACCAATCTCGTGACACCTGTCACTGTCCACCTTCGGCTTCCGGCTGATTGGCGCCATCACCCGGCTTTCCACGTCAGTCTTCTCCGACCCTACGTCCTGAGTTCATCGGACTTTGCACGCAACCGTGGTGTTCCAAAACTGACGCCGTTGCAGGAACCGACGACCGAGCCCTTGAAAATTCTCGGCCACCGCATCACCACGCAGCTGAACCGTCGGATGGTTGATTTCCTAGTCCGCTGGCGCGATCGCACGTCTGAAGACGACAGTTGGGTGCCCCTCGCTGACTTAGAATCACATTCGATTCTAACGGTATATTACCAGCGTCGGAATGTCTCCGATGCCTACGGCCTCGTTTAGGAGGGGGGGGTAGTGTAAGGAATTTCCATTCCTTACTGAATCGACCGCTACCGCGTACACCCGAACACCTCGACTCATCACGTTCGGCCTACAATTTCGGCCCAACCCTTTCTCGAGTCGCGCCCGACAGCGTCGCCACAACTGCCGAACCTACCCACGTCCCGAGGTCATCGCCCTATTACGTCCACTCCTATATAACCTTGTGCTTTCATGGCAATAGGGACGCTTGTATCCCCATTATAGTACATTGACATTTCCCAAATCATAACATGGCGAAACTCGCAATGTGAACATGGAACATCTACTACTATACTAATGTGGATGGGAAAAAACAAGTACACTCATGGGAGATTGATGGAGCTAGTTGAAACCATTGTATATTACATTGTGCGACGCTATTTCCGAGGTCATTTGTGTCAAACATGTGTATTTGTCATGTTTGTATAGACTGTATAGGGTCGCCTCTTAGAGGGTACAACACTTAGGTATATCTGTGTGTACTCTCACTCTACTCACCATTTCATTTCTCTAATTTTGATATGGTATTACGCGTAGGTTAGGATCCCCCCCCCCACCTACCGCTTCCGCTCGCCCCCTAGCTCGGCCCCGCCGTGCCTCCTCGCCCCGTCGTGCCCCTAGCCCCATCGCGACCCCCCCTAGCCCCGTCGCGCCCCTCCTGGGCCCCGTCGCGCCCCTCCTGGGCCCCGTAGCGCCCCTCCTGGGCCCCGTCGCGCCCCTCCTGGGCCCCGTAGCGCCCCTCCTGGGCCCCGTAGCGCCCCTCCTGGGCCCCGTAGCGCCCCTCCTGGGCCCCGTCGCGCCCCCCCTGGGCCTTGTAGCGCCCCTCCTGGGCCCCGTCGCGCCCTCCCTGGGCCCCGTAGCGCCCAACCTGGGCCCCGCCGCGCCCCCCTCTGGGCCCCGTAGCGCCCCTCCTGGGGCCCCGTCGCGCCCTCCTTGAGCCCCGTAGTGCCCCTCCTGGGCCTCGTCGCGCCCCTCCTGGGCCCCTCCTGGGCCCTGTCATGCCCCTCCTGGGCCCCGTAACGCCCCTCCTGGGCCCCGTAGCGCCCCTCCTGGGCCCCGTAGCGCCCCTCCTGGGCCCCGTCAAGCCTTCAGGCCCTGTCGCGCCCTGCCCGGCCCCGTCGCCCCCTGCCCGGCCCCGTCGCACCTGCTCGGCCACGTCGCACCCGCCCGGCCCCGTCGCAGCCGCCCGGCCTCGACGCGCCCGCCCAGCCCCGGTGCGCCCCTCCTGGGCCACCGTCCCGCTTGCCCGGCCCCGTCGCACCAGCCCGGCCCTGTCGCACCCGCCCGGCCCCGCCGCACCAGCCCGGCCCCGTCGCGCTCGCCCGGCCCCGTCGCCCTCGCCCGGCCCTGTCGCACCTGCCCGGCCCCGTCGCACCAGCCCGGCCCCGTCGCGCCCGCCCGGCCCCGTCGCCCTCGCCCGGCCCTGTCGCACCGGCCCGGCCCCGTCGCGCCCGCCCGGCTCCGTCGCGCCCGCCCGGCCCCGTCGCACTCGCCCGGCCCCGTTGCCCCGGCCCGGCCCCTGCGCTCGTCCCTGCCTCGGCCCCTACCTCCTCACTGGTACGGTTCCCCCCCCCCCCCCCCCCCCCGCCCTGCACTGCCCTGCACCGTACTGCCCCGCACCCCACCGCCCTGCACCACACTGTACTGCCCTGCACCGCACTGGACCGCACTGCATTGCACTCCACCTTGCTGCACTGCCCTGCACCGCACTGCACTGCTCCTGATGGCGGCGGAGCTTCGCTTCGACGCTGAAGGCCAGCCTCTGGAGTTCGAGGCGTGGCTTGCTGACCTCCGCCGCCAACTCACTGGCCAGCGGCAGGATGGTGAACTGCTTTCCGCACACCTTGACGGTACGCTCCCCTGCCCAGACCCCCCTGCTATTCTGCCCGCTGACTCCACACCCACTGAGCGCGAGTCCACTGCTGCCACTGCCCGTGCGCGCTCTGTCTGGCTTTCTCGCGATGCTGTCGCTCAGCTTGCCATTAGTAAGGCCCTTCCCCCGTCCGAGCACCCTCGCTTTAGGTCCCTCACTACTGCTTAGGCATACTTAGATGTTGTCATCAAGCGCTATTCCACCCCTCCGGCTGCCTCGGTGGGTCGCCTGATCCTCCCGATGCTCTTTCCTGACCTTGCATCTTTCCCCACTGTCTCTGACCTCGCTGCTCACCTGCGCTCGATAGATGAGACCTGGCGCGCTGCCTGCACTGACGCACAGCTTAGAGCCCACCAGCCGCCCATTACCTCTACCCTTTACCTGCTTGCCACCCGCCTCCCTGACCGCCTTGCTGTCGCCCGCGACCGCTTCCTTAGTGTTCACCCCGCAGACCTCACCCTCACTGACTTTGTCGACACCCTGACTGTGATAGAGACCCGTCACCGCTCCATCGCCCAGGCGAGCGGTGTCGTGCCGGTCCCTATCTTTCAGGGTTGTGCCCCCGCTCAGTGAAGGGCCGCCGCCCCAAGGTTGGGCGCGGTGGAGGAGGCGGGGGTGCGGGAGGGGGTGGTGGTGGGTTCGTGTCGTCTGGTGCTGGAGCGGACGAGGGGACCCTGCCCAGTCCAGCTGAGCCGCCGCCCCTGCAGTTGCAGCAGCCGCAGCAGCCGCAGCAGCCGTCGCAGACGCGGCAGACAAGTGTCCTCCCGCCCGGGTGGCCCGGCGCTGGCGGTGGCCTGGCGCGTGGTGGTGTGCCGAGTGGTGGATCTGGCGGCGGGCGTTGTCAGTACCATATCCAGACCGGTCCTCGCCGCGGCTTCGTTTGCGGTAAGATCGGTCACTCCACTCCCCGCTGTTTTCGTCGCCTGGACGACCTCTTTCGTCAGCGCTTCGGCCCGTCGCCAGACCTCCCGGACTGGCACAGTTTGCTTAGTCGTAAGATTCAGATTTTTGATATGGACATGGATGCCATTGTTTCTGCTCTGCATGTGATGTATGCTTATGACTCTAGTGTGCTTCCCGCTTATTACTCACTGTTGCCTAGTGTAGGTGTGCCTAGCTTAGCCTCCCCTGCTGCGTCAGGCGTAGGATCACCTGCTTTGTGTAGTCTTGGTGCTTCCGCCGTCGTTCCGTCGCCAGACGCCTCTGCTTCGCTTTCCTTCACCTTGGACTCTGGCGCTTCTCGGTGTTTCTTCCGCGACTCCACCACCCTGACGCCGCTTCCTGTTCCTGCTGCCGTTTTTCTTGCTGACCCCTCCGGCGGTCCGGTAGTCGCCCGCAGTTCCACCACCCTTCCCTGTCCGGCGGTTCCTTCGGGCACTCTCACAGGTCTGCATATCCCCTCGTTCTCCAGGAACCTAGTTGGTGTCGGCTGCCTCCAGGACCTTGGCGTCACCACTACGTTCCCTGGTCACGAGCGGTATGCTGTCTGTACCGAGGCCGCCACTGGTGCCCCCCTGTCCACGTTCCCCCGGGACCCGGTGTCCGGCCTTTTCACTCTGGACACCGTGACCCCCCCGGCTGGAGCGCTCACCCAGGTTGCTGCTGCCTGCTCCTGTCGGTCCCTCACTCACCCGACCCTCCTTTGGCACCACCGCCTAGGTCACCCTGCGCTCCCGCGTCTGCGTCACATGTCCCAGCACGGTCTTGTCCTTGGTCTCCCAGGTTCCCTCCCCGCGTTTCCCTCCTCCCCAGCCCCACCTTGCACGCCTTGTGTCGAGGGTCGGCTTCGCCGTGCCCCTCACTCCTCCTCGTTTCCCCCTACCGCCGCGCCGTTGCAGACCCTGCACCTGGACGTCTGGGGCCCCGTCCCCGTCCCTGGGCCACGTCGAGAGCGCTACTTCCTTGTGCTTGTCGACGACTTCACTCGTTACACCACAGTCTTTCCCCTGGAGCGCAAGGCCGACGTGCCTGGCGCTCTCATCCCCTGGCTTGTCTCTGCGCGTGTCCACCGCGGTCTCCCTGTCTTGCGTCTTCACTCAGACCGTGGTGGCGAGTTTGCCTCAGGTGTCCTTGGTCGCTTTTGTCGTGCGGAGGGCATCACCCAGACGTTCACCCTACCGGACTCCCCACAGCAGAATGGGGTCGCTGAGCGACGCATCGGTTTGGTCATGGAGGTGGCTCACACCTCCATGATCCATGCCGGTGCACCCCATTTTCTGTGGCCGTTCGCTGTGCGCTACGCTTTCTCACCAGCTTAACTTGTGGCCGCACCCTCAGCAGCCGCAGGTTTCGCCGACCCGTCTTTGGACTGGGTCTCCTAGTGACGCGTCTGCGTTCCACGTCTGGGGCTGCCTTGCTCACGTCTGTGCCTCCGGCACGGACAAGCTCACTGCCCGCACCCTTCCCTGCGTCTTCCTCGGTTTTCCCCTTGACGCGTCCGACTGGCACTTTTACCACCCGCCGTCTCACTGCTTCTTTCACTCTCGCGACGTCACCTTTGACGAGTCCGTCTCCTACTACCGTCGCTTCCCCCACCGTGGTCCCCCGGTTACCCCGGTCACTCCTTCCCCGGTAGTCCCTGCCCCTCCTCCTCCTCCTCCCCGTCCCGCCCCCTCTGGGGTGTCCCACGTCACCCCCCTTCCGTCGGTGGACCCGGTTGAGGAGTCTTCTGACTCTGGTGGCCCTCCTGTTCAGTCCTCGCCGGCCGCCCCTCCCCCGGCGTCCCCTCCCCAGTCCCCTCCCCAGTCCCCTCCTCCACCGCCTCTGCCGCCGCTGGAGCCGTCGTTGTCGCTGCCGCCGCCGCCGCCGTCGCAGTACCCGTTCGCTGACTCTGGGGGTGCTCGTCCCGGTAGCCCTGGGGGTGGTCCCTCTGGGGGTGCTGGTGTGGAGAGTGCCGGTGGTACCCGAGGAGCAGCTTGCGGTCCAGGTGTCGCCGTTGTGCCGCCGCAGCAGCAGTCCCCGCCGGTGTCAGCCCTTCGCCTGCTCGGCCTTCCGTCCCCCGACCCTGCGTCGGTTCCTCCCTGACCGTCTCCTCCTCTTCCTGTCTACGGCCCTGTTTTCCCTCCGCCGGACTCGTCCCCGGCCCGTCTCCCCCCTCGTTCCCCTCTTGTGTCTCCTCCTCTGTCTCCTGACCCGACTCCTCCGTCGCACGTCTGGTCTCACCATCCCTCCCGTGCTCGTCCTGCCTCGCCTGTCTTGAGCTCCCACCCTATGTTGCTTCGTTCCCATGCGTCTCGTCCTCCCCTTCTGCCGTCGCCTCTTCCGTCCTCCCTTGTTGTTGCACCCCCCCCGCTGTCTGACTACCTTCGTGCCGCTCGTCCTCTTGTTCCTCGGGTCCTTGCCTCTCTCGTTACCGACCCGTCTGTTCCGGCCTCGTGCCTTGACGCTCTTGTCGCTGCTGCCACTGACTTCGCCTCTACCCGCCGCCTTGACTACGCCTCTGCTCTGGTCTCTGACCCTGCCTGTCCTCCGTCTGTCGGGGGTGCTCCTGCCCTTGGCAGTGACGTCCTGGAGGACCGCCTGTTCGAGCTTGCTTTCCTGTCCGAGGCTGCTCCCCATCTCTGTTCCATGCTGCTAGTCCCTGAGGGTGACCCAGACGCTTTTGACATCCCGACCCCTCGCACTTACGCTGAGGCGACTTCGGGACCCTGGGCCTCGCAGTGGATAGCTGCCATGGAGCAGGTGATGGCATCTTGGAGATCCACCGGCACCTTCGTCGACGCAGTTCCCCCACCTGGGGTGAACGTAGTCGATGGCCGCTGGCTCTTCAAGGTGAAGCGCCCTCCTGGAGAGCCGCCTGTCTTCAAGGAGCGCTATGTGGCTAGAGGCTTCAGTCAGCGCGAGAGTGTGGACTTCTTCCAGACCTTCGCTCCGACCCCGAAGATGACTACTCTTCGGGTTCTGTTACACCTAGTTGCTCAGCGTGACTACGAGCTTCACTCCCTCGACTTCTCCACTGCCTTCCTTCAGGGCAGCCTACACGAGCAGGTCTACCTGTGTCGCCCTCAGGGCTTCACTGGCACCTTCCCTCCTGGGACCCAGTGGCTCCTGCGGCGCCCCGTCTACGGCCTGCGCCAGGCTCCCCGTGAGTGGCACGACACTCTCCGTGCTGCGCTTGCTGACCTGCAGTTCTTTCCGTCTTCCGCAGACCCTTCACTCTTCGTTCGTGCTGGCCAGACTCCGTTCTACATCCTTGTTTACGTCGACGACCTGGTCTTTGCCACATCAGACAGGGACGCACTGGCCTCCGTGAAGGCAGAGCTGCTGAAGAGACACACCTGCACTGACCTTGGAGAACTGCGCCGCTACCTTGGCTTGCAGATCTCCAGGGACAGAGCTGCGCGCACCATCACCCTGACTCAGTCACACTTGGTGCGCCAGGTCCTTCAGAGTTTCAGCCTTCAGTTCTCCTCTGCACAGCCCACCCCTCTGCCTGTAGACCACAGACTCTCCGCTCCAGTGTCTGAGGAGTTGGCAGAGCCCAGCGGCCCCTACGCAGAGCTGGTGGGTTGCCTCATGTACCTGATGACTTGCACTCGCCCAGATCTCGCATACCCTCTCAGCATCCTGGCTCGCTTTGTGGCCACAGGCAGACACCGACCGCAGCACTGGTCTGCCGCTAAGAGGGTTCTGCGTTATCTTGCTAGTACATCGGGCATGGGGTTAGTGCTAGGAGGACGCAGGCCAGTGGTCCTTACTGGACACACAGACGCTTCGTGGGCAGACGACGCTGAGACACTCAGGTCCACCCAGGGCTACTGCTTCAGCCTTGGCTCAGGTGCCGTCTCGTGGAGAGCTACCCGCTCCTCGTCTGTTGCGCAGTCCAGCTGTGAGGCTTAGATCTACGCTGGTGCCATGGCGGCACAGGAGCTCCGCTGGCTGACCTTCTTGCTCACTGACTTAGGTGAGCGGCCGAGCTCTGCCCCGGTCCTGTTCGCTGACAACAGGGCCATGATCCTCCTGTGTCAGGAGCCTCGACTCGAGGGCAGAGCGAAGCACATTCAGCTGCGGTACTTCCTCCTGCGTGAGCTACAGCAGCGACGTCAGGCTCGCGTAGTACACTTGGCCTCAGATGCCAACACGGCTGATATCTTTACGAAGGCGCTTGCGCCTGAAGACCATCAGCGGCACTGTGTACAGCTTGGTCTAGTTCCTGTAGCCTCTCTCTTGCTAGGACCTTGACTTTGTACTGTCCTTTATATGTATACTCAGACTGGACTTGTGTCCTCTCCCAGTAGCTGGACTAGTAGTGCCGCCCTGCTCTTGTTCTTGCCTTGTCTGTACTCCTTCTGACCGGTCTCTCAGACCCTTGTCTCAGAGGTTGGACTAGTAGTGCCGCCCTGAGCTGCTTGTTTAGGACATTCCCCTTATGCAGTCTAGGGGGTGTGTCAAACATGTGTATTTGTCATGTTTGTATAGACTGTATAGGGTCGCCTCTTAGAGGGTACAACACTTAGGTATATCTGTGTGTACTCTCACTCTACTCACTATTTCATTTCTCTAATTTTGATAATTTGAGTACTGATTGGCCGCATGATGATCAGAACTTGAATTGCAGAGTGAGTACTAAATTATTGGCTTTCACAACATGATTGATTCGCATCAGTTTTGCAATTACTAGGGTTTATTCATGCGTTTATATTTATATAATTATGGTAGCTCGAATAAAGCTCAGTTTGTTGTGAGCCTTAATTGAAGCCCACAGTTTTCCATGCACACTTCCTTCACAAATGTAGCCCCCTCATAAGATCTGTGGAGTCCAAAATGCCCATTCAATGGGGTCGGGATGCGAGGCTTCCTTCAGTGAAGTTTTCTTGTGACTCGCTCTGGCACCTGACCAAGCCTGATCTGGGCCACGGTTTTACATGAAACAGAATTACATTGACTACCCTCGTCGTTCCATTGTCAGCAGCAGCATTCCAAACCGACTTGAAACGACCGTCGCAATCAGTCGTTACTCCAGCAGTCCTATGTCGTCACATTTCGCACATGAACGGTAACCCCAGCAAGTCCAAAAGTGCTTGTGTATCGCTGAAGCTAGTCAACGGCGGCCAACTCTTCAGATTCTCCAGGTGGTTCTGACCTGCCGCCGGCTGCCAAGTGTGCGCACGGGATTGCACGCTTTCCATTCGGTTCTTCTCCTGACTTCTGACCTGAGATGTGTGTGACTGCCTGGAACCTCGCTGGCCTCTCCCCTCGACTGATGTGACGTCGCCTGGGTCCAGCAGGGCTTGGCTGCGTGCTTGCCCGGGTTTGGCGCCAAAAAGCATCTCCCTCCCCTCCATACCTCAACCTCCTGCCGACAAATTGGCTGGGCAACCCTGCCCCCCGTCCACGCCGACACGGAAATGTCACCGCGCTGATGGACAACAACAATTGCGAGTAATCCCATTCGACCGATAAACAAACAGTTAAGCGTCGCTCCAACCGAAGCAGAAGCCTTCTTGTTCCATTGTGGGCTTAATAGAAGTACCCTCCCGCCGAATTCTACAGGCGAACAAAGGAATTCCTCCCCAGGTGCTGTGCTGGCGATTCAAACCGCCCACCCCTTTCGCGCCATACCTATCAAACGGCCTCCAGGTGGTCCTTCACCTCCAGATTGCGGCAGGAAGACACCGAACCGAACCGAATGCTCCTCTCCTCGTGCGGCAAATGTAGAATGCAGCGGAGCTCAGAAAAGTGAGCAAGCGAAAGACAAGCAGCCGAGCTCCACAGCAATGGATTTCTGTAGTAAAACGCATTACAGGTATCTACGTACATGAGAAAACCAGGGCAGCCATCGGTGCATGAGAGTGAACGGTCGTCACTGACTCGTCGGGGGGACGTTGACCCAGGTCAGACATAGCCCGTCTACACCCCAGATGTAACCAGATACTCCACTGTACACCACTGCACCGAATACAGTACTGCACCTGCTCGCCCCAGCAGCTCAACAGACTTCCTCCTTCGCCCTAGATGGTCCCTCCGTTCCGTCCCTTACCGCGAAATAGTCGGTCTCGCATTCAGGAGAAAACATTCCACCTATTGTACTACTACTACTCCGTAGCAGCAGCCGCCCCAGACGGCCTTACTAGTACACCATCGCAGTAGCTAGCCACCCCCTGTAGCCCCCTGCTGCCGCCGCAGCCGCCGTAGTAAGAGACCGCAGCACAGCACCAGGAAAACTTCTCAAAAGCGTCAGTCGCCGAGTCTAGGACCAGCGGAGGATCAGTGAGATGGACTCTAGGCCTCGAGGACTCGAAGAATCTAAAAGAACCAGATCGGGCCAAACGTGAGTCGCCACGAATCGTGCCGCCTTTCTGCTACCGCCGCTGCTGCTGCTACCGCTGACTTGCCGGTGCTGGTGGTGTCTGTCCATGGCGCCAGCGTGACTGCTACTAGCGAAACAGAACGCCAGTCAAGACTGCATCTGCAGAAAGCACTCACCCCGCTACTCCTTCCAGCCACCGCCGGCAGATAAACTGGACAACCGACTTCCTCACCGTCCGCGCATACGCGCACCGCCCTAGAACTAATCATTGCGCGCTTCCGACGCTTCTACAAAGACAAACTCCAGCAGAAGGCACTAGTAGTTGCGAGCTGCAGTAAGTCGTATGACCATACCACTACCACCAGTAGTAGTAGTATCCGATTAGCATTTTCGATTAGCATATCCGATTAGCGTACCCCACCATTAAGCGTTAGTCATACACCTCTTCACATCTCTGCCGCAGTCACCTCGCTAGCCGCTGAACTATAATGGGCCCGGGCTCGAAGTATCCAACGCAACAGCCGCAGCGGACAGGCGACTCGCAGGCGGAGGTGGTTGCGGAACCCCGCGGAGCTACTCCGCCGCTGGTCGTCCCCTCTGGGCCCGTTTCCCCGCTCTCCCCGATCTCCCCGCTCCCCTTGAACCTCCCCTGCATCGTCATTCCGCCGCGCGAGCTTGCGGCGCGCTCCGCCGCTTACTCTGGCGGCGGCGCAGGAGGCGGAGGCGGAGGCGGAAGCGGAAGCGGAGCTTTCGCGCAACAGCGCGCGCTGGTGCGGGGAATGTCGGAAGGGAATCCGTCGCTGCACTCGTCGTCGTCGACTGGGCTTCCGCATACGCTTCCGCCGTCGCTCGTCCACTGGCCGTACGCGTCGCATATGCCCGCCGTGTCGCCAGGTTTCACGCACCTCCCCAAAAGCCGGTCCGACGGCGACGGCGCGCCGCCCACCGCGTCCCCCGCGACCGAGGACGCGCGTCAGGGGAGGATGCGCAACGAGAACTGGGGGGAGGTCGGTTCCCCGTGGCGAGGGGGAGGGGGAGCGGGAGGGGGAGCGGGAGGGCCTTCGGGGGCGTTTCATGGTGTGGCGGGAAGCAGTCATGGCAAGGTGACACGTGTACCGTCGGGGGATGGTAACCCTATTCCAGTTTCCTCGGTGCCGTGGCAGCGGCCGAAATCGTCCCCGCTCCAGCGCAGCCTGAGCGCGGGCTCGCCCTGCGCGGAGGACGCCGCGGGGGGAGGGGGAGGCGGAGGGGGAACGACGATCTGGGAGCAGTGGCAGGCGCTGGGCCGGTGGGGGCGGAAGGCGGAGGAGAGCCACGGGAGTGGCAGTGTGGGGTATGCTACTTGGGCGCCTCCTCCCCTTCCTGCTGCTGCCGCTGCTGCCGCTGCTGCTGGTGCTGCTGATGCGGCTGGTGGTGTTGGTGCTGGCAGTGGCGGAAAGGGAAGGGCGATGCACAGTGAGAGCATTGCGCACAAGACGGGCGTCCTGAATGAAAGAGAAGCACGAGCACCTAAGGTACGCCTTCAGCAGGCCGGGGGTGTTCTTAGCTTTACGCTCTTATTAGGAACACAGCCCTCCTCAATCTGCGACCTACCCTTTCCTTCTCTCGCAATCATCTCAGCTGTCACCTCACCTCGCCCTCGACTCCCTCCCACCACCCCATGCGTGAGGAGTCTATTTTTGAGGAGCCTCAAAGATCATCTCAACAGTCACCTCGCCTCGCCCTCAACTCCCTCCCACCACCCCTACCCTGCTCTCCTTTCTTCCCTCCCTCTTTCCTCCCCTCTCTTCCTCCGCCCCCTTATCTCCAGCAGCCCACGTGGTCCGTGTCTCTCCTCGCAGCGCCATGCCACGTGCATCCCTGCCTCTGCGTGGAAGCCTGCTTCTGCCAGCTTGACTTTACTCAAATCCTACATGCTCCCCCCCCCCCCAAACAACCCTCTCCCTTTCCCCCCCCCCCCAATCCCCAGCAGCCCACGTGGTCCGTGTCTCTCCTCGCAGCGCCGTGCCACGTGCATCCCTGCCTCTGCATGGAAGCCTGCTTCTGCCCCTGCGTGTCCGTCGGTCGGCTCGCCCACGCGCTCGACCCCGTCTCCTCCTCCACCCCTGCTGCGGGCGCGCTGCTCTACTCCCTCCTCTCCTGCTTCCTCTCCTGCCACGTAAGCCCCGACTCTCGAGCTTTGCTGGACCCGCAGTGCTTAAAACAGACGCATCGTTCTGTCACATGGCTAGAGCTCCTCAGTGGCTGCTCCCCCTGCTGCTGCTGCTGCTGCCGGCGCGCTGCTGTGCTCCCTCCTCTCCTGCCTCCTCTCCTGCCTCCTCTCCTGCTTCCTTTCTTGCTTCCTCTCCTGCCACGTCAGCCCTCCCTTCAGCGCTCGCTCTCGCAACTCTACCTTTCTCAACGGTCGGTCTCTCAGAGCTCTCTTTCAAGCACAACCGCGTCTGCTTCCACTCCTCTTCGTTTCTCCTCGCACTCTTCTCGCATCTTTCCTCTTCACTCTCTTCTCGCATCGTGTCTCCTCGCACTCTTCTCGCATCGTGTCTCCTCGCACTCTTCTCGCATCGTTTCTCCTCGCACTCTTCTCGCATCGTTTCTCTTCGCACTCTTCTCGCATCGTGTCTCCTCGCTCTCTTCTCGCATCGTTTCTCTTCGCACTCTTCTCGCATCGTGTCTCCTCGCTCTCTTCTCGTCTCACCACTCTCACCCATCTTGACTTGTTCCCTCCCAGTTCCCTCCTAGTCCTCCACACCCCTCCTTACCTCCACGCCCGCCTACTCTGCTTCCTTCAACCCTCGTCCGCTTCCCCTCACCCTCTCCCTCCTTGCGCTGTCGAAACACCTAGTCATAATCGCCTCCATCTCCGTACCCTCTCCCTCTGCAGATGTACACCTCCCATAATCTCCGTACCCATCGCCTCCGTGCTGCGAGGACAGTGAGGGAGCGCTACTGCTTGCCCCAGGCCAGGCCCCTCCTTAATCTGTCAAGGCACCTAGTCTGATAACCCATTCTCCCTACCTTCCTTCCACCTCTCTCCTTGGTCTCTTTGTCTCCCCTGCCTTCTCCTCCTGCAGGTGTACACCTCCCTGCTGCGAGGGCGAGTGAGGGAGCGCTACAGCTTGCCCCAGGCCCCTCTGGGGCGCGTGGGGGACTGCTGCGCGCACTGCTGCTGCAACCCCTGCGCTCTCATGCAAGAGATTGCCGAGGCAGGGGTAAGTGGGTTGAGGGGGACTGTCGATAAGGGGGGGAAGAGTGAGCGGGTTTTCGAGGATTGGGAAGCGGTGGAGATGAGACGGCGGGGCGACCGGGCCTTGGGTTTAAGAGGTTAAGGTCGGTTCTTGGGTGTTTTTATTCACCTTCTCATTTGTGTTTTGGGGCGACTGGCGTGGAGTGCAGGGGAATGTGGGGCGTCCACCAGGAATCACGGTGGCATGACTGCGCGCGGAGGCTTGCCTGCATTTACCTGTCATGGATCCCTGAAACGTGCCGTATTCCCTCCATGACACGCCTTCTTGCACATGGAGGGTGGCCGGCCAGTGCACTCCTCCTGCCCGCCTGTCACAGCCTCTACCCTCTCCCACACGCCCCACAGAATCCTCCTTCCCCTCCCTCCCCTAACCCCTTACCCCTCAATCCTCTTCCCTCTCCACTCTCCCCTCTCCATTCTCCCCTCTCCACTCTCCCCTCTCCATTCTCCCCTCTCCACTCTCCCCTCTCATCTCTCCCCTCTCCCGCCTCCCGTCTCCCCTCTTCCTCTCCCTCTCCCCCCCTCCCCCCCCTCTCCCAGCTGCATGGCGACATGCCCGTGGACGGCGCGGCACCTGGACCTACGCACCAGGCTGGTAAGGTGGCGCCAGCACCCGTTGGAGCCACCTGGGGAGGGGGCGGAGGAGGTGGGGGTGGCGGGGGTGCATCCAAGGGTGGTAGTAAAGTCAAGGCCGCAATGAGGGCCCCTGCTGTTGTCACCATGTGACGATTTGTTGAGCCGTGGTGGTGTTACAGCGTGGGATGCTGACGTTGCCTGCAGCGAGATGGCAGCTGTCGGTGCCAACCCTGGAATGCTACAGAGTGCAGCTCATCCACTCCATCCTGCCCACATGTTTCGTCGCACCCAGCTGCTCCGCCGCACCCAACTGCCCAGCACCCAACCCAACTGCACTTATCTCTCCCCCTACACACCCCTGGTTCTTCCCCCCCTCTCTCCATCTAACAGCTTGTCACTAGGATTAGTCGCGACTTATCCTGATTTTTATACCCTCTGTTCTACCTATGTCCCTTGACCCAGCCACGAATCCTCGCTTTGCACACCCACCTCCAGCTCCTCGTTACTTCTCCCTTCCTACAGTGACCATGCCCATATCAAACGCACCTAGTACGGCCATGCACGTGCTACACCTAGCTCACTTGTTTGACATTTCGCCTTCGCCTTTGTTGTTGTATTGTGTGTATCATGCTTATTAGTGTTTTTTTTTGTCTGATTTTATCATAAACCTCTTCTATAGGTAAGAACATTTGGACACCAACATGCTTACAATATATACCGAATATCACAAGGATAAACAAGGAACTTAACGGACGAGCCTGAAACGCGGGCGGATTGGTGACAAGAACGATCATCCAGTTTTGAGGCGTGTTCTCCTTGTCACGCTTCCCTTGGGAGTCGCCCCCCAGTAGCAATCATCTTGACGTAAACTCCACCACCACCCTTATTTTCGGGCTAATAGCTATCGTCCCGTTTTGTTACCATTCACCCGCCCGCCATCGTACCTCTCGGCTCCGTAAAATTTCGCCAATCTTAATTCGCCAATTTCACAGCCATGCCTCGGTACACGACGTCGCAGACCTTCACGGACGGCAACACGCAAATAGTCGCGTTGCCCGACATCGTCGAGCAGAAGCGCGAGGATCCCAAGGGTGACGTGGAGGAGGAGCCGTACGAGGTGAAGCTTCAGCGCATCTCAGAGTGCGTGCCGCTGCGCATCACCAGCACCAGCGGAAGCTCCGCGGGCAGCGGAAGCGGAGACTTTCACCAGGTGCGCGGGAAGGGAAGGGGAAAGGGAAGGGGGAGGAAACGGAGAAGGGGAGGGTGAAGCGGAGGAGGAAGCTTTGACGGCGCAGGGCAAAAGTGGGGAGGGCTCACGCGAGCCAGAAGCGTAGAGCAGCCGACTTCCTCCTCCCAAATGCCTCTACTAAGTTGGCCGCACCCTGACAGTTGTCATGCAGTATTTATGTCTGGGTGCAATTCATCGGGGTGGTTGTGTTGCGAGTGTATGCGGCTTGAGGTCCTGGCACATAATTGAGGCTGATCCTCGGACATAATGGTTGGACATAATTCCAGTGCGCACCGCACCAGTGGTTGGGAGTAGGTTCAGCAAGTAGCGAGTGTATGCGGCTTGAGGTCCTGGCCAGCTAGGAAGAGGAGAGATGCGCGGGAGAGGAGAGATGCACGGGAGAGGAGAGATGCACGGGAGAGGAGAGATGCGCGGGAGAGGAGAGATGCGCGGGAGAGGAGAGATGCGCGGGAGAGGAGAGTGGGCGTCAGGCTGGGCTGAACCAGATGGGACCAGCTTACAGTTGTTGCTGGCCCTGGCCACAGCTGTTGCTGGGCCCAGCCGCGCGGTGACCCTCAGTCCTTGGGGTTTACTTTCCGAGTAAATCCCGGCTTGCGTTGGTTTCCTAACCCGGACCCTTGCTGATTAGAGCTGCACGATTCCCTCAGCAGATTGCCAAGACATCGTTTGCAATTGGGTTCCTGTGTGTGTGTGTGTGTGTGTGTGTGTGTGTGTGTGTGTGTGTGTGTGTGTGTGTGTGTGTGTGTGCCCTTCTGTTGTCTGCATGCCACTTTGAACCGTGCATGCCGTTCTGCTCCTTATGCATTCCGACCGAGGGCGAACCTGAGGGCTAACCTGAGGGCCAACTGTGTGATAATTCATTACTACAAGCCTTTCTTCTCCCTCTCTGATTGTGTGTGAACTTGGATGGATATGCATGTGCTCATGCACGTGCTTGCTCAAATGGAATGGCATGTTTCATGTACATTCATGAGTCCATGTTTGCATGTGTGTATGCGTGTGTACGTGTGTGTATGTATGTGTGCGCATGAGCAGTACCGTGCCATGCGGCGGCATGAGCAGGACCGGCTGATGCGAATGGAGGCAGACTACAACAAGCGCATGGAGGAGAGGCGCTTCCAACAACGCAGGTCAATGCGCACTGCCGCTCGACATATGTCATGTTCATCCAGAGAGGCATTGCATGGCACAAACGACATGGTGTACATCTTTTAAATTTTTATATTTTTGTCCTCTGATGTTGTTCCCTAGTTTTTGGTTTTCTGCATTACTTTGCTGAAAGAGTGGCTATGCTTGGTCAATCTCCCTGGCGCTGCTTCTTTATTTTCTGCTAGTTTTCCAATGACCTGTTTCCATGTGCACTGGTGCCAATAACATGCGTGCTACTTGTGCCACTCCTCCCACTTGGCGTCCAGGGAAGAGCGGCTGAAGGAAGCAGAGGAGCGAACAGCAAAGAAGCGAGCGAAACGGCAAAAGAAGAAAGAGAAGCGGAAGAAGCAGAAAACAGAGGGAGCAGGGGATGGTAGTTTGCCGAGTGTGGCTGAGGGGCAGAAAGAGGGGCTAGTGTCAAGCGATGAGGATGTCGAGGAGGCTGCGGCTGCCCCATCTGCCCAGGCAGCGCTTGATTGACAAGTAGCACTGTACATTGCTGGATGTACTTTACATTGTGAAGGTGCCGTCCTATGTTCAAGACGTCAGAAGGCATTGTTCAGTGTTTTTCTCCATGTTGGGAGGTTACTGAGTAGTAACATACAGGTACGTTGCATCAAATTGGGCTTTACCTTGGCGTTTTCAGTTCACTCCCCACTTCAGTTCTCCTTGGTTGTTTTAGAAATAATGGTTTCCTTCTAGGTTCAGATCTCTTGGTTTCATGATTGTTTTGTACCATAGAATTGCATGTGTTGCAAGATTTAGTCAATTCTCTTATGCCATAATTCAGCATCTAGTTTGCCCTGGAACCGAGATGAACCCTCCAAATTCTGAGAATGTGAACAGGTGAGAAGTTCCAGCTGGTGGCGATGCCCCACAGCCTGTAACTGACGGCAGTTACTGGCCGCTGAATTACTTACGTGGCAAAACCACGTGGACCATACAGGTGGTGTGGGTGGCCAGATACCTCACAAGGACAAGGCAAAATTCCCCTTGGGCGAATATCTGGCATGTCAAGAATATTTGGCAGTTGCATGTTTCGAAAGAGTGATTGCTGCTGTTAATGTTTTGTTTTCGGGGCTACTCCTAGGTAGGTCTCATATACAGAGCTTACGCGGAGACTAAATGCAGAGGACTACGATAGACAGTGCTAATATTTACGATAGCTTGAGCAAATCTGTTTGGTAATTCCTAGTTGTTGTTCTGAAGCTGGTTTTAGGCACATCATAAAAGTACAGCAGGAAACCAGAACAACTGAAGTTTGGGGCAGCTCGTCAGGGAGCCTGGACAAAGCTGGTTTCTAGATCTCAGGTTACCCTCCCAGGTTTGCTCTCCTTCCATCATCCTCCGCGTCCTGCTGGCTCACCCACCCAGCCCAGCTTTCCTTCCGACCTTCATCCCTGTTTTCCGCTTGCCCCCCCAACACCCCCTCCTCCTTCAATGCTCACTCCTTTACCCTCACCACCCTTCTCTGAGTACCTTTAACCCAACCCAAACTTGCTTGACCGAACTCCAGCCCTCGCATCTACCCGACACCAACCACCAACCTGCAGAAAATTTCTACCTCCAGGCATCCGTTTGGTGGAATTGGGCTGGATCCATTTCCTTCGGTTCCTTCCATTGCAGATTTTAGAGCCTGGTTTTCTTGCTGCTGCTGGTCAATTACGGGATTTCACCAAGGCCATCAAGGGGTGACTCTCATCCTCTTGTCGCTTCGGCTCTCGCGAAGACTGGTGGACCCGCAGTCCTGGAAACATTGTCTTGTCGTGTTTCCCTTGTGCGGGCTCGTGATCTTCAGTTCCGCGCTTAGATATCGCGAGACGAAGGCGCCATGGCGGACAAGACAATTGCCGTCATTCTTGTTGGCGGTCCCACAACTGGTAAGCTGTACGAGAGTATCGGGGGTGAGATAGTAAGTCGCATTGTACGATCACCGCCGTCTTGAAAGACGAAAACAGTGTGCCTTTTGCCCCTCACTACGTGAACTCCATCCCCCTTCAGTCAGCACATTCCAACAATTTTCGACGTAAAAATCCCAAAGAACCAGTTTTTTACACGATCGTTGTGCACAGCATATGCAGCTTCCTGTTTGTCCATTGTGCTACATCTTTATCAAGCTCATGTCTTCAGGATGCCACGCTGTACAATTAGTGTCCAGTTTCTCCAGTTAAGAACGGCCCGGTCCGTGACACCGCTTTGCGATCTCTCTCATCTAGCCGTGTTGCCTCACTCCGACATGCATGATCCCTGTTTTGCGACGCCTACCACGTTACTTCTCTCCTGGTCTACAAGTAAGGTCCCTGAATAGATCGCACGAAGTTTTCCGTTTCCCGACCGAATCGAGATTCACATCGCTGCCGTTGATTGGTTCGTACGTGCCTCTGCCATTCACGCAATAAGCCTTGTTATGGACAGCAATTCGTGGCTGACCGCATCCTGATCTATCCGTACTGTCTGCCTTCCAACTCTTAATTCCGCATCCTCTCCCTTCCCCTTCCCCTGGTTCAGCATCCAACCATGGTGCTTTGGGGGCCTCATCCGTGCCAGCAGTCCCGTGATCCGAATTTTGACCTGCCTAGAAACACCCACAGTCCAACCTTCCTTGTCCTCTGCGTCCTTCCCGCGTTACCCATTTGCCTGTACCCTTCCTCGTACCCTTCCTCGTACCCTTCCGCGCCCCCTTCCGCGCCCCCTTCCGCGCCCCCTTCCGCGCCCCCTTCCGCGTCCCCTTCCAGGAACCCGCTTCCGGCCGCTCACTCTGAACGTGCCTAAGCCGCTCTTCCCGCTGGCCGGCAAGCCCATGGTCCACCACCCCATCCACGCCTGCCAACAGGTAATTCAGCACTCCCATGCGCCTCTTGTTTTCACACGCTTTTGACTCGACTGAATTGACTGGCGGCAAGCCCATGGTCCACCACCACCTCCACGCCTCCCAACGAGCACTTCGGAAATTCCTGCACCACCTCCCCTGCGCTCGGTTCTCAGACGTCTTCAAGTAACAGACTTCGTCGCTCTCCCGCATACCGCCCTCAATGTTCTACCCACCTTCCCACCTTCCCCTCCTCCCTCCTCCAACTCTTTCTCTCTCACCCTCAACCCGTCCCGTTTCGCCCCCTCTCGGCGCCCCCCCCCCCCCCATACCGTCCCGTTTTCGCGTCTAGCCGTCCTTCACCTCGTCCCCTGGGTCCGAACAGCCCGATCTCTCTCCTGCTGCGCCCACAGAAATTAATCTACGTCTTCCATCCCCTCTCCCTCTCCCTCTCCCTCTTCCTCTCCCTCTGCCTCTCCTCTCCCTCTCCGTCCCCCTTGTGCGCGTGCCTCCCAACCCTGACTGACATGCCCGTGGGCGCTGCTGATCCGCTGCTCCCCGGCGGGTCAGATTCCGAACCTGGTGAACGTGTTCGTGATCGGGTTCTTCGAGGAGAAGGAGTTCACGCCCTTCATCTCCTCGCTCTCCGCCGAGCTGCGCGTCCCCATCAGGTGCGCGCGCCTAACATGCAACCCCATCTGGTGTGTACCGACCGAGTCCCTATCTGGTGGGTGCATGCTGCCGTTCAGGTGTGCGTATGCTGGCCACCAGGTCTGTTGCCAGGTCTGGCGTTGAGTGCAAGGCCTGTCACACACTCATATATATATATATATATATGTGTGTGTGTGTGTGTGTGTGTGTGTGTGTGTGTGTGTGTGTGTGTGTGTGTGTACACAAGGTCCACCAGGCGAGGAGGGAGGGGTACGGTGGTGGCGGTATCAGGCTCAGCGAGGTCCATCAGCTCCGCGTTCCCCTTCTGATTGGCTGCTCGCCTGCCCTCTAATCTCTGACGTCCTACCCTCTCTTCCAGTCAACCATCCCCTTTCTCACTCAATCCACCATCCTCTCCCCCCATGCCCCTTTCCGTATCCCATCGGCTCCTGCGCTGCTCGCCCTTCTTTCTACGTTGTCCCTCGTGCGCCCTCCTCTCCCCTCCCTTCCCGTGAATGTTTCGTGTGCAAGGACGACAAGGCCAAGTCCCACGGGTCAGCAAGAGGGCTGCACTGTACCTCTCGCCCTATCCATTCCTGTTCCTCGTATTTCATCTCGCTCCTGTGCCCTCGTCCCCCTCCCCTCGTGTCCCTTCCTCCCCCCCGCCCCCTCCACCCCACCCCCCCCTCTCCCCCCCACAGTACCTGCGCGAGGGCAAGTCGCACGGGTCAGCAGGACGGCTGTATCTCGTCCCATCCCCTCCCGTTCCCCTCAACCCGTCCCCTGCCGTGCCCTCGCCCCCCTCCCGTCTTGTTCCCAAACTCCTCTCCCTCCCCCTTTCTTCCCCCCTCCCCCCCTCTCCCCCCGCCAGGTACCTGCGCGAGGACAAGTCGCACGGGTCAGCGGGAGGGCTGTACCACTTCCGCAACACCATCCTGCAGGACGACCCGGTCAGTGCCACGCCGTGCTGGCTCTTCCATTGTGTGCTGGGCAGGCCAATGCGTGTGCGTGTGCGTGTGCGTGCGTGTGCGACTGTGTGCATGTGTGGTCGGTTGGCGTGTGGTGGGTTGGCGTGTCGTGGGCTGGCGTGTTGTGGAGCAGTGTGTGGTGCCATAGGAGGGGTATGTGTGGTGGGGCGATGTGTGGTGGGTGGGTCAGTGATGGGTCAATGATAGGTGGGTCAGTGATGGGTCAATGATAGGTGGGTCAGTGATGGGTCAATGTCTGGTGCGGGCATCGTCTGGAGTGGAGTGGTGTGGTGGTGTCCGTGTTGGGCGTCCGATCCAGGTGACCCACCCAATGAAGTGACCAGCAGAGAGCATTCACCCACGATCGTGGGGACAGGCTGCTGGCTGGATGAAGTCTCGGGATGCTGCTGTTCTCTTGAGGCCATGTCCTGAGTGCGGCGCCGCTATGTGCAGTACCAGAGGCGTCATGCATGCGTTGCCTCTTAAGCCTTTCACCCCTTTCCTTCGTCCCTGTTATCCCCCTCTGTTATCCCCCTCTTTTCCCCCTCCGTTGTCCCCCTCCGTTGTCCCCCTCCGTTCTCCCCCTCCGTTGTCCCCCTCCGTTGTCCCCCTCCGTTGTCCCCCTCCGTTGTCCCCCTCCGTTGTCCCCCTCCGTTGTCCCCCTCCATTGTCCCCCTCTGTTGTCCCCCTCCGTTGTCCCCCTCCCCCTCTGTCGTTCCTCCCTGTCCCCCCTTCGCCTCCCCCGCTCAACCCGCAGGACCACATCTTTGTGATCAACTGCGATGTCTGCTCCACCTTTCCCCTGGCTCCCATGCTCGGTATGTGAAAGAGAGCGAGACCTTGCCCGTTGGATCCTGCTGCTGCTTCCCTCCTGCCGTGCTCTTCCTCTCCTCTCCTCTCCTCTCCTCTCCTCTCCTCGAGTCCTCCGTACACGCGGTCTCTTTCACATAATGTCTCGATGCACACACGATAGCTTCCAGCCAATGCTCTGTATGCACCCCATAACTGTGCTTCAAGGCCTCTCAAAGCACGTGCATCACCAACCAACGCTTCCCTCACCGAGTATCCTCCCTTGGTCTTCCTCTCACGTGCAGACTCGCACAAGAAGCACGGTGGTGTGGGCACTCTGCTCTGCCGCAAGGTAAGCCTGCTCGCCACTTGTTCTCGCACCATGCCCTCTCTGCTCGTACCCCGCCCTCGCTGTCGCCTCGCAACTCTTCGTGCGGCACATTCGTTGGCGATGCTGTTCACTTGCGTGTTTACCTTGAAGAACCATGCCCTGTTTGAGCCCTTTTGAGGGCCAGTTGCAACTGAAGTGTAAATTGCTGTGCCTCGCAGACGCCATGATTTGATTGAGTGGCAGGATAGGGTATTCGAAAGCGTCCTCTTCCTTGTATGCCTCCGCTCTGCTGCACTCGAATATCCTCTCCCTCCATGGCCACTGCTCACCTGTGCATGACTGTTCTGTGCCAACTCAAAAGCATGCTCACTCATGCTCATGCATACCTTCGCCCTCCTTTCGGTTCCCAGGTGGCGCCAGACACTGCGAGTGACTTTGGCGAGCTGGTGGCTGATTCAGAGACCAAGGAGATTCTGCATTATGCTGAGAAGCCCGAGACGTTTGTACGTGCATGCACATTCGCATCGCACTAGGCACAGTGCTCAGCACTGCACAGGACCGGCTGGCACATGCATGCAGATTCTCACAGATGAACCCCGCCTTTTTCCTTGGTCACACAGACATGCGCACGCATGCACGCACGCACGCACACACCCACACACGTACGTACGTACAGTACAGTCACATGCACTCTCACACACGGTAAACACATCTCCACGCGTTTTCTTCATATTGCTCGTGTTTGCGTGTGTGTGCATGTGCATGTGCATGTGCATGTGCATGTGCGTTCATGTCGTGACAGGTGAGTGACCGCATCAACTGTGGCGTGTATGTGTTCCGCCCTGCCATCATGGACATGATCAAAGCAGCCATCGCCGAGGGAGACGGGGGTAAGAAGAGCCAGACCTAGTAGAGTCTTCTGTCAGGTAGGCAGGTTGGCTGCAAAGGGCGTATGCCCAAGTGGCGCTGCTACTTGTGACACTGCCAACTGTGGCATCTATGTGTTCCGCCCTGCCATCATGGACATGATCAAAGCAGCCATCGCCGAGGGCGACAGGGGTAAGAGACGCATGATTTGGGGGGGATTGGAGGTGTCTACACGTGAGATGGAGCGGAAATTCTAATCTAGTCTGATTTAGCCATGCTCCCTAATCGGTCTCCACCCAGATCAATTCGCGGAACCTCATCCCCGTTCCCTGTGCCCCTCCTTTCCTTTCCCTCCCTCCCCTTTCTCTTCCTTTCGCCGGCCTTCCATTCGCCATATTCCTGCCGCGGACAACTGTGTCTGGCTGGACCAGCACCCTGTTTTCAAAGCAGGCGTGGAAGGGATTAAGCCAAAAAACCCAGTTTCTTTCTTTCCTTACCTCCCCCCCCCTTCCTTCCCTCCTGCTCTCTCCGCGCCCTTGCTGCAGTGAACTACATGCGGCTGGACCAGCAAGTGTTCTCTAAGCAGGCGGGGAAGAAGGGATCCATTCATAACCCCGTCTCCCCTCCCCCCCTCCCCCCAACCCCACCAACCCCCGCCCTACCCCTCCCCGCCCCCCGCCACAGAGAACTATGTGCGGCTGGACCAGCACGTGTTTTCAAAGCAGGCAGGGAAGAAGCAGCTGTATGCATTCGAGACAGATGACTTCTGGGAGCAGATCAAGACGCCCGGGTGAGAAGAAAGGGGGTTACTGGGAGAGGGGTGGGGGGAGGGGGGGGAGGGGAAGGGGGGGGACAGAGGTGAGGAGGAAGGGTGTGGGCGCATGGGTGGAAGGGAGGAAGGACAGTTTTGAGGCGCCTCAAAACAAGGGTGTGGAGACATGGGTGGAATGGTGGAAGGAGAAAGAGCGACCTCTGCTCTCGAATCTCTTCCATATCCCGCTGCCCTCTTTTTCCTCTCCCCTTGGTCTCGTTCTGATTTTCACTCTTTCCTCATGCTGGTACCTTTTCCTCTTTCCCGTTTTCCTCCCTCCGGCCTCTCTTCCCTCCTCCCAACACAAGTCTCTAAGGCCATTGCTGCATTACCCTTACTTTCCTTCACATCACCATCCCACACCGCAGCCACTGACACATAGCTCCTATGACGTCTCAGCGACTACTACTTCCTCTGGTACCTGGCGTACTACCAGCAGACCAGCCCTCAGCTGCTGGCTCCCTCCACGCCACCTCTGTCTCTTCCCCCATTTTTTCCCCTCGTTCCCAATCCCCCCCCCCCCCGCCTCTTCCCCAACACCAGGCTTGCCCTGCGCTGCTCGCAGCTGTACCTGACGTACTACCGGCAGACCAGCCCGCAGCTGCTGGCTCCCTCCACGCCTGGCGGCCCCGCCATCATCGGCGACTGCTTCATCCACCCCTCCGCTAAAGTGCACCCCACCGCCAAGGTAGGGTGCAAGGCAGGGGGAGAGGTGGTGGGATGCAGGAAGGGAGGGAGCGAGGGGGAATGGGAGGGGGGGCAGTGAGTGAGAGAAGGGTGGGGTGGAAAGGATGGAGAAAGAGGAGGAAGGGGAGAAGGATAGGTGGAGTGAAGGGACGAAGAGCGGGTTTGTTGTAATTGTGACGCCTTTTCTGCTGTCTCCCCACCCCACTCGTACCCTACCAACCGCTCATTCCTTCCTTCCCTCCCTCCCTCCTTCCCTCCCTCGCTCCCTCGCTCCCCCTTCCCTCCCTCGCTCCCTCCCTCCCTCCCTCCCTCCCTCGATCACCCTGCCCCCTGCAGGTGGGTCCGAACGTGTCGATCGCAGCGAACGTGCGCATTGGAGCGGGCGTGCGCTTGAAGGACTGCATCATCCTGGACGAGGTCGAGGTCAAGGTCAGTCCCACTGCATCCATCCCCTGTGGGCTTATGCCCTCTCCCGCTCTTTCCCTCCTTCCTCTCCCACTCCAGCAAGTGCCCTTCTAGTCCTTGTTTCTCACTGCTCCCCTGCCTGCCCCCCTACCTCCCCCTTGCCTCCTCCCCTCGTGCCCTCTCCCCTGTGCATCGCCCCACTCGCCCCAGGAGAACGCCATAGTGGTGTCGTCAGTCGTGGGCTGGAAGTCGGTGGTGGGGCTGTGGGGGCGCTTTTGAGTCAACTCAAAAGCAGTGCTCTGTTCCACAGTGGTGGTGTCCTCACTTCTCACTGCCCTCTACCTGCCCCCCTCTCCCCCCCTTCCTCTGTGCCTGCTCCCGGGTGCATCACCCCAATCGTCCCAGGAGAACGCCATAGTGGTGTCGTCAGTTGTGGGCTGGAAGTCGGTGGTGGGGCCGTGGGGGCGTGTGCAGGGAAGCGGCGACCTCAAGTCCCGTCTGGGCGTCACCATTCTTGGTATGTGTGCCCGCTCTTGGCACGTGTGACGATGCTCGGTAGGTTGGGCATGTGCCAACACCCTTGGCAAGTACAAGCTCTGCTGCACTCGGGAGTTGTCGGTCTGACTGTGCTGGGGATGGCAATGCTGCCGTGCAATGGAGCTGAATCAGGCACAAGCGCTTGCTTTCTTCTCCCCCACTCCACCTCCTCTCCTTTGCTGGCGTGCAGGCGAGGATGTAGCCGTGGGGAAGGAAGCGGTGGTGGTGAACTGCATTGTGCTGCCGCACAAGTCCCTCAACACAAGCGTGCAGGAGGAAATCATTCTGTAGCCGAGCCAATCCGAGCCGAGCCACCCATGTGCACTGTACTGTGTGCTGCTTGCCTACCCTCTCCCATCCCAACACACCTCCTCTCATGGGCTATAGCTGCGCCATATGCACCTCACGAGTCACGGCGCTTGTCTCGCATAGCTGCCTGCTGTTGACTGTCTGAAAGCCGTGCTCAAGTCTCTCTGCAATTGTCCTCTGGAGTTCTACATGTCTTTCTTAACTGTACCAATAACTATCGCGAGACCTGCATTCCGATTTAGTTAATAGTTTATTGAGTCTCCAACTTGTTGCAATTTCGCTAGATGGTATGCTTCAGATTGAGCTAGAATGTCGGTATATTTCATCGTCCACCCCGGAAATGGTGATTTTTGAAGCGAAGCAGACAGTATCCGAGATTCGGTGTGTCATCACTGCTCCCTCAGGGACTGGTCTAGAGCCTGCCCGTAACGCGGGGGGGTCAGACTCAGCGGGGACGCGAGTCCAGCTAGCACTTACGCGCTGCGCCATTAGAACCGCGATAACTTGCGCACGTTCAGACACGCGCACGCTGCTCCCAAGAGACATGGATTCGTGCCATGGTGTCCCTGTGTAGCGCGCTCGTGCACACCACTGTTGAGGCGCCTCAAACATAGTCCCTGTGTAGCGCCCTCGTGCACGCCCTTGCATACCCCCTTTCCTCCACACCGTCACTTCTGCCAGTCTCCCTTCAACCAAGTTGGTCTTGGCTGGACGTCGCTCCCTTAAAGCCAGAGACCCAAGTTGCAGAAACCCCACGGAGCACGCAGTCCACCCTTCCATCATGCATTCAGAAGTACGATAGCGAGTTGCTAGAATCGAACACAAGTACGGCATTTCTCGGCGCCTCGACACGGGTTAACCGTTGGAAAGTAGGGCGGAAATGGTCTCCCCCAGACCGCAGAGGGGGCTCGGCGCGCTTACGTGGGGGCGCGCGAGGGCGCGGATATCTCCGCGCGAGTGGTGCCCGCCGGGGGGCGGGAGGCGGCGGAAGTGGGTGTGGGTGTGTGCTGGCGTGGCTGCCGCTGCTGTGCTCCTGCTGGCGCTGCTGGTGAGATGAGACGGCGGGAAGAAACGGGCTGGTGGGGTTGAGATGGTGGTGAGATGACACAAGGCTGGAGGGGGCATTGAAGAGACGCAGCAAACATATGAATTCCTGTTCTCCCTGCTCGCCCACCTCCCCCTCCCCCTGCCCCTCCCATTCCCCCTCCCCCATTCCTCCCCCCCTTCCCTTCCCACTGTTTTTTTGGCCCAGCAGACTCGAATCACACCGCTACAAAGCCCACCTGGTCTTTCCCCCACCACCACCTCCTCCTCCTCCTCCTCCTCCTCTTCCTCCATCTCCCCCGCCTCCCCTCCTCGCATCGCTGTGTGCCTCGTGGGTGGCGCTCGCGACTTCGAGCTCACGGGCCCCAGCATCGTCACCAGGCTGCTGGCAGGCCTCGCACCCTCGCCCTCCCCCCTCCCTCCTCCTTTCCCTCCTCTCCCTCGTCTGCCGCCCCCCCCGCCCCTCCCCCCGTGCTCTTCCTTAACTGCCCGCTGGACGAGAACTCCCACAAGCTCTGGGCGCTGCAGTGGGCCATGCAAAGCAGCAGCAGCAGCAGCAGCGGCAGCAGCAACCGCTCCTTTGGGGCCGTGGAGCTGGGCGCAGTGCACATCTTCGCGCCCACGTGGCTCAACGAGTCCGCCCTGCTGCACAACCACACCGGCACCCTGTACGGGGGCACCTCCCCGCAGGGCACGCAGGGCCTCTTGCAATACTTCCACCTCGTGGAAACCTGCATCCCCATGATCAAGGGCTATGAGCACCGCCAAGGGGTCACCTTTGACTGGATCGTGCGCACGAGAGTGGACACCTACTGGGCCGCGCCCCTGCCGCCTGTGCTCCTGCCGTCGCCGCGCTTTGAGGCGGGGCAAGAGCGATCTTTGCCTGCGTCTGCGTCTGTTCCTGTGGTGCTGGACCCGGCCGCGTACTGGGTGCCATACGGGTCGGACTTCTGGGGGGTGAATGACCGGTTCGGCGTGGGGACCTGGGACACTGCGGAGGCTGCCATGGGGCGGCTGAGCATGCTGGAACGAGTCATGGCGCGCGGATACGAGTGCGTGAGTCATGGCGGATGGGTGGGGGAAGGGTGTAGCTGGATGGCACATGGCATGGCACATGGCATGGCATGGCACATGGCATGGCATGGCCGAGGAGGAGTATACTCTCGTGACAGGTGAAGCGTGGTGTCACATTGACTTGCCTGCATCCCTGTTGTCCGTGCAGGCAGGATGAGGATGTGCCATGCAAATGCAGATGCAAATGCAAATGCAGATGCAAATGCAAATGCAAATGCAAATGCAAACGCAAACGCAAATGCAAATGCAGATGCAGGCGCAGCCAAGACTCCACTCACCAACAGCCGCCCCAACCTCCTTCCCCCATTCCCCCTCCAATTCTCCAGTCCCCCAACCCCTTCCCCGCTTCCCCTCCCAGCGACCTCGACTCGGAGAAGGGCCTGAAGGCGCAGCTGCAGGTGGCAGTCGACTTCTGAGTTGTCTCAGGGCCCCAACCCCGCTGCTATTCTCCCTCTGCCCACCCCATTCCGCCACCGCACCCAGCGACCTCAACTCGGAGAAGGGCCTCAGGGCGCAGCTGCAGGTGGCGGGGGTGCGCGTAGGCCGCTTGGACGTGCCGTTCTGCGTGATGTCGCGCCGCCCCTACCCCGACGACGATGTTCTCGTTGCTGCTGTCGCCTCCACTGCTCCGCTCAACGGCGCCAAGTGCTGGCCGTGCACACCCAAGTACAGTGGGATCAGGGTGAGTCTTGTGAGTCAACTCAGAGCGGCCCTTCTGTGGGGGGGGGGTTGTCGCGCCGCCCCTACCTCGATGACGATGTGCTGGTTGCTGCTGTCGCCTCCACTGCTCCGCTCAACGGCGCCAAGTGCTGGCCATGCACACCCAAGTACACCGGCTTTAGGGTGAGTTCCAGAGTGAGTCTTTTGATTCGATTCAGAGGGGCCCTTCTGCGCGGTGCTCCGCAGCCCCTACCCGGATGACGATGCTGTGCTCGTTGCTGCTGTCGCCTCCACTGCTCAGCTCAATGGGGCCAACTGCTGGCCATGCACGCCCAAGTACAGTGGGATCAGGGTGAGTCTTGTGAGTCGAATCAAAGTGGCCCTTCTGCGGGGTCTCCCGCCGCTCTTACCCCGGGGGGACAGGGCTGCGTGCTCATTGCCGCCATCGGGTTCACTCCACCGCAGCGCTGAATGGAGCCAAGTGCCGGCCGCGCACACCCAAGTACAAGGGCAGCAGGGTGAGCAGGGCAGCAGGGACATGTGTACTGTGGCGTGCTGTGAGTACTAGGGAGGGAGGTCTGTTTAGGGACGTGTTATAGCCCATTGCTGGCTGTGCTGTGCACACCCGAGTATGCCGGCAGAAGGGGGAGCTTCAAAAGTGACTCTCAGGAGGTTTGATTGATAGGAGGAGTACATCTTTGATAAATTCTGCCCCTCTGCCAGGTTTGATTTGCTCTCAACATTCCATGATCAAGATCTCCATTATCCATTATTCTTCACCAGAATCTCCCTTAAATTTAACCTTTTCCTTTCAAAACCCCACTGGCTTTGTCCTGCTGTCCTGCTGTCCTGCTGTCCTGCTGTCCTGCTGTCCTGCTGTCCTGCTGTCCTGCTGTCCTGCTGTCCTGCGGTCCCTTAAGAAAACACATAGACCAACTTGTCCCCCCCTCTCCCCCTCGTCGTTCCCCTATCCCCCCCCCCCCTTCCCCTGCTACTAGCTCAACCGCCCCTCGTCCCCCCCGTGCTGCTCTGCGACCCCACGCCCCCCTGGGAGGATGGCCGGCCCGCAGACCCCACTCTCTTCCATTTCCCCTCCGTCACTCCACCATGCCTCTGGTGATCTCTGGGCGAAGGAATGTCCCCAAAACTTTTTGACCCACACGTGAGGAGTCTATTCTTGAGGCGCCTGAAAAATACACTCTCTTGACCCTTCCTCCCTTTTTTCTCCCATCATCCGCTGGCAGTGCCATCCTTCGTCCCACCAAAGCGCTGGTCTTTTTGCCCCTTTCTCGCCCCTTTCCTCCCTTTCCTCCTCCCTTCCCCCCTTTCCCCCTCACCCCCAGGCCCTCCTCAAGTACCCGCTCATCCCGTCCACGCGGTGGATCCGCTCGCCCTCAGCAGACTGGCTCAACCGCCCCGCCTCCCCCCGCGGCGCTGTGCTGCTCTGCGACCCCACGCGCCCCTGGGAGGAGGGATGGCCAGAAGTGTTCGACGCCTCTGTGGGCAGTGAGCTGGCGGCCATGCGGCGAGCCATCGTGAACACGAGCTCGGAGGACTGCATGAGGAGCTTCGAGGAGGTGAGGGGAATGGCTTTTTGAGGAACCCTGGCAATTCCTTGCCCTTTTCTTTGCTTGTTTTTGTTGCTTCTGCGTTTTTTTTTTTCCTTCCTTTTTTGTGTGTTAATTCTCGAGTTACTTGTCGGCTGCAAGTTACTTGCCCTGCCTCCCCCCATGGCGCCGTGCTGCTCGGTGACCCGCGCAACCCTGGGAGGCCGGCTGGCCCGCTGTGTTCGACTCTGCTATTGGCGCTGAGATAGCGGCCATGCGGCGAGTCATCATGAGTCATGAACACGAGTTTGGAGGACTGCATGGGGAGGTTCGAGGAGATGAGGGGGGAGGAAGTCCCAGACGTGTGAGTCTGTTTCTTTCTTTGGTTCTGGGGAGATGCTGGGATGCGGCTGCCACGGAGTGGTGGTTACAAGCAGCTGCCGTGCAGCTCTGCGACCCCACCCGCCCCTGGGAGGCCCCTGGGAGGCCGGCTAGCCTGCTGAGTTTGATGCCTCTGTAGTGCTGAGCTGAGCCGAGCTGAGCCGAGCTGAGCTGACCTGAGCCGAGCTGAGCTGAGATTGTGAACAGTAGGCTGGCGGACTGCATGAGGAGGTTCAAGGAGGTGAGGCGCAGTAGGTCTTAGAGGACCCCTGGTGACGTCTATATGTTTTCTTTCTCTCTCCCTATCTGTATGCTGCATTACATGTACGCCCTTCCTTCCCTGTCATCCTCCTCCCCCCCTCCCCCCCCTTTCTTCCCTCCCCCGACCCCCCTTTTTTTGTCCCCGCCATTGCTGCCATCTGCAGTGATTTTTAGTCCCCGACCACCACGTAAAAGTCACCTCCCCTTCTTCCCCCCACTCCCCCCTTTTTCCCTTCCCATTCCCCTTCCCCCTCCCCTTCCCCTTCCCTTTCCCCTTCCCCTCCCCCTTCCTCTCCCCCTTCCCCCCCCCTTTCCCCTCCCCCTTCCCCTCCCTTTTCCTCTTCCTTGTGCTGCAGTTCAAGTCTGCATCGCACCACTGGTCCGCGCCACCCATCACTGCCATCTGCAGTGGCGTTTGAGCCCGCTCAAGAGCCGGCCCCACCTGCTTCCCCTTCCTTCCTCCCTTCTGTCGCAGTCTAAGTCTGCTTGAGGGGAGCGACGGCTTCGTAGTACTGGTCCGCGCCGTGCATCGCTGCCATCTGCCACTGCTCCCTGCTGGGCCCCTTGGTCCTCCTCAGCCGGTGCGCCCCTCACTGCCATCTGCCTCCTTTTGCTCCCCCTCCCCCTGCCTCTCCCTTGCTCTTCCCTTTCCCCCCCATCCCCCCAGTTCAAGACCCTATCAGAACACTGGTCCGCCCCGCCCCTCGCTGCCATCTGTCACCGCTCCCTGCTGGGCCCCTTGGACCTCCTCGGCCCGCCCTCCGCCTCCTTCTACACCGCCACCTCCGCCCTCTCGCCCTCCAGCAGCGTTGCATCCACTGGCCCTGATAGCAGCAGCAGCAGTGGTAGCACCAGTGAGGATGCACAAGTGGGAGGGGGGGAGACATGGGAGGAGGAAGTGGTGAGGAGAGTGCCGGGTGTGGCTGTGGTTCACTCCTCCTTGCTTGACGGTATCGGCAGCATGCACAGGCATGGGCCACCGGTGGATGTGCTCAAGGTGAGGGCTTGAGCTGGCTGTGCTGTGCTGCATGTGTGCATAAACACGCCACGCACACACGTAAACCCTGTGTGAAGACTGCGTGTAATAAGTCGGGTTTTGGGTCGACTCAGGAGCACGCACAGGCATGGACCAACGTTGGATGTGTTCGAGGTGAGGGCTTGAGTTGGCTGTGCTGTGCTGCATGTGTGCATGCATGCATGCGTGGTGTGTGGGCGCAGGTGTGTGCACGTGTGTGCGTGGTTGTTTTGTGTGTGTGTATGTGCGTTTTGGTTTGTGTTCTTGTGGGCTGGGTGCTGTGCCTGCGCATTACGACACCCACACACCTCCACCACACTCCACCCAGATTCTCTCCTCCCATCTCCCATCTCTTCCACATTTATCCCTTCCCCTCCCCTCTCCTCCCTACCCTCCTCCCCCCCTCCCCCTCCCTCCTACCCCAGTTAAACCTGGATGGATCCGACCTGCCCACCCTAGCATCCCTTATACACCAACGCACCCTCCCTGCAGCCTGCCAGCTGTTAGTTCCCTTCTCCACCGGCCAATCAGAGAGCGCCACGTGGCGCAGTGACGTGATTGCAGGGCTGGAAACAGAGCAGGTGTATCTGGTTGCGTGTGTGCAGGAGTGGTGGAGTGCAGTGGAGAGGTGTACCTTCTTCTCTGTGCCGCACTGTTCCTCATTGCTGCTTGGTGCTGAGGGCTGGAAACAATAACACGCGGGGCGTGTCTCTTGATGTGCCTCAGTAGTACCTACAGCAGCTTATGGTAGTAGGTAGTAGTACCAACAAACAAGACTTTCCAAGATATTTCCACACTGGTTTTTGTGGCTTTCTTCTGACTCGACGAAATGTAGATCTCTCACCTTTCAACATGCAGTGTAACAAGCTGGAATCTACCAGTGAGAGAATGGCAGTAGAGGTAGTGTTAGAAACTCTAAGAGATAGATTGAAAGCTTCAGAGGTGTTAACGTAGAAATGAATGATTACTAGAGGTGGAAACCTAGAACAAATACTAATTGGTTGTACTCACTAGAAGCATACCTCAGTCTAGCCTATAACTTCTACATAGATAATATGTATAAGTTGACACACCCCCTAGGCTAGACAAGGGGTGAAACTAAACAAGAAGCAAACAGCTCAGGGCGGCACTACTAGTCCAACCACTGAGGCAGGGGTCTGGAGACCAGTCAGCAAGAATACAACCAAAACTGAAGCAAGCCAGGGTGGCACTACTAGTCCAGCCACTGGAGGTAAGGCCACAAGGCCAGTCTGACAAGCATATATAATAGAGAGTACACAATCAGGATCCTAACAGGGGAGCAGCTATAGGAACAAGACCAAGCTGTACACAGTGCCGCTGATGATCTTTAGGCGCAAGCGCCTTAGTAAAGATATCAGCTGTGTTGGCACCTGAGGCCAAGTGAACTACGCGGGCCTGGCGGCGCTGCTGTAGCTCGCGCAGGAGGAAGTACCGCAGCTGGATATGCTTCGCTCTGCCCTCAAGCCGAGGCTCCTGACACAGGAGTATCATGGCCCTGTTGTCAGCGTACAGGACCGGGGCAGAGCAAGGCCGCTCACCTAAGTCTGTGAGCAAGAAGGTCAGCCAGCGGAGCTCCTGTGCCGCCATGGCACCAGCGTAGATCTCAGCCTCACAGCTAGACTGAGCCACAGACGACGAGCGAGTGGATCTCCAAGAGATAGCACCCGAACCAAGGCTGAAACAGTAGCCCTGCGACGACCTGAGCGTCTCAGCGTCGTCTGCCCAAGAAGCGTCTGTGTGTCCAGTAAGGACCACTGGCCTGCGTCCTCCTAGCACTAACCCCATGCCTGATGTACTAGCAAGATAACGCAAAACCCTCTTAGCGACAGACCAGTGCTGAGGTCGGTGTCTGCCTGTAGCCACAAAGCGAGCCAGGATGCTGAGAGGGTATGCGAGATCTGGGCGAGTGCAAGTCATCAGGTACATGAGGCAACCCACCAGCTCTGCGTAGGGGCCACTGGGCTCTACTGGCTCCTCAGGAACGGGAGCAGAGAGCCCATGGTCTACGGGTAGAGGTGTGGGCTGTGCGGAGGAGAACTGAAGACCGAACCTCTGAAGGACCTGACGCACCAAGTGTGACTGGGTCAGAGTGATGGTGCGTGCTGCTCTGTCCCTAGAGATCTGCAGGCCAAGATAGCGACGCAGCTCTCCAAGGTCAGTGCAGGTGTGTCTCTTCAGCAGCTCAGCCTTCACAGAGGCCAGTGCGTCCCTGTCAGGAGTAGCGAAGACCAGGTCGTCTACGTAGACAAGGATGTAGAACGGAGTCTGGCCGGAACGCACAAACAGTGAAGGGTCAGCAGAGGACGGAAAGAACTGCAGGTCTGCTAACGTGGCACGTAGCGTGTCGTGCCACTCGCGGGGAGCCTGACGCAGGCCGTAGACCGGGCGCCTGAGAAGCCACTGGGTCCCAGGAGGGAAGGTACCAGTGAAGCCCTGTGGTCGGCGTAGGTAGACCTGCTCGTGTAGGCTGCCCTGAAGAAAGGCAGTAGAGAAGTCGAGGGAGTGAAGCTCGTAGTCACGCTGTGCTGCTACGTGTAGCAGCGCCCGAAGAGTGGTCATCTTCGGGGTCGGGGCGAAGGTCTGGAAGAAGTCAACCCCCTCGCGCTGACTGAAACCTCTGGCCACGTAGCGCGCCTTGAAGACAGGCGGCTCTCCAGGGGGGCGCTTCACCTTGAAGAGCCACCGACCATCGACTACGTTCACCCCAGGCGGGGGAACTGCGTCGACGTAAGTGCCGGTGGATCTCCAAGATGCCATCTCCTGCTCCATGGCAGCTATCCACTGAGAGGCCCAAGGTCCCGAGGTGGCCTCAGCGTAGGTGCGAGGGGTCGGGATGTCGAAGGCGTCTGGGTCACCCTCAGGGACTAACAGCATGGAGCAGAGATGGGGAGCAGCCTCGGAAAGGAAAGCCAGCTCGTACTGCCTGTCCTCTAGGACGTCACTGCCAAGGGCAGGAGCACCCCCGACGGACAGAGGACGGGCAGGGTCAGAGACCAGAGCGGTAGCGTAGTCAAGGCGGCAGGTAGAAGCGAAGTCAGCGACAGCAGCGACAAGCGCGTCAAGGCGCGAGACAGGAACAGCAGGGTCGGTAACAAGAGAGGCAAGGACCCGAGGGACAAGGGGACGAGCAGCACGGAGGTAGTCAGAGAACGGAGGAGGTGCAACAGCAAGGGACGAGGGAGGAGGGGACGGGAGGAGGGGAGGACGAGACGAGTGGGAACGGAGCAACATAGGGTGGGTGGGCAGGACAGGAGAGACGGGACGAGCACGGGAGGGACGGCGAGCCCAAACGTGAGACGGAGGGGTAGGGTCAGGGGACAGCGGAGGAGACACAGGAGGGGAACGAGGAGGAAGACGGGCCGGAGACGAGTCTGGCGGCGGGAACACAGGACCGTAGACAGGGAGGTCAGGAGGCGGTGGGGGAGACACCAGCGCGCGGTCCGGGGAGGGAAGGCCGAGCAGGCGGAGAGCGGAAACCGGCGGCGACGGCTGCTGCGGCGGCGACGACGGCTGGGCCGGAAATCTCGGACCAGCAGAGGCAGAACGACCGTCGGCAGAACACTCAACAGCAGCACCCCCAGAACCAACACCCCCAGAGCGAGAACCCCCTCCAACACCAGCGGCACCCCCAGAAGCCGCAGGACGAACACCCTCCTCCACACCAGCACCCCCAGGGGCCGAGAGCAGCGGCGGCAGTGGCGGCAACGGCTGCGGCGGCGGCGACAGCGGCGACGGCTGCGGCAGCGACAGCGGCGGCGGCAGCGACGACAGCGGCGACGGCTGCGGCGGCGACGGCGACGGCGGCGGCAGCGGGGTCGGCGACTGCGACAGTGGGGGCGGAGGCACCGGGGAAGGGGGACGCGGCAAGGACGGACCGGGGGTACCACCAGAGTCAGCAGACTCCTCAACGGGGACAACCGACGGGAGGGGAGTGACGTGGGAGACACCAGACGGGGCAGGACGAGGCGGGAGAGGGGCAGGGGCTACCGGGGGAGAGGGAGCAAGGAAAAGGGGGGGGGCAACTGGGAGACCTCGGTGAGGGAAGCGGCGGTAGAAGGAGACGGACTCATCAAAGGTGACGTCACGAGAGTGGAGGAAGCGGTGAGACGGCGGGTGGTAGAAAAGCCAGTCAGACGAGTCCAGGGGGAAACCGAGGAAGACACAGGGGATAGTGCGGGCAGTGAGCTTGTCCGTGCCAGAGGCACGAACGTGAGCAAGGCAGCCCCAGACGTGGAACGCAGACGCGTCACCGGGGGACCCGGTCCAAAGGAGGGTCGGCGAAACCTGCGGCCGCTGGGAGCGTGGCCACAGGTTAAGCTGGTGAGCCGCGTAGCGAACAGCGAACGGCCACAGAAAATGGGGGGCATCGGCATGGATCATGGAGGTACGGGCGACCTCCATGACCAAGCCGATGCGGCGCTCAGCAACCCCATTCTGCTGTGGCGAGTCCGGCAACGTGTACGACTGGGTGATGCCCTCCGCACGACAGAACTGTCCGAGCCGACCAGAGGCGAACTCGCCGCCACGGTCGGAGTGGAGACACAACACGGGGAGACCGCGGTGGAGACGCGCAGCCACAACCCACGGGAGAAGAACGTCGGGCACGTCGGCCTTCCGCTCCAGGGGAAACACCGTGGTGTAGCGCGTGTAGTCGTCGACAAGCACAAGGAAGTAGCGCTCACCGCGCGGTCCGGGGACTGGGGCAGGGCCCCAAACGTCCAAGTGCAGGGTCTGAAGGGGGGCAGTAGCAGGACGCAGCGAGGAGGAGTGAGGAGCACGGCGGAGCCGACCCTCGACGCAAGGCGTGCACGGTGGCGCAGTCGAGGGAGGAAGGGCAGGGAGCGACGCGGGGAGACCTAAGACAAGACCGTGCTGGGACATGTGACGCAGACGCGGGAGAGCAGGGTGACCTAAGCGGTGGTGCCAGAGAAGGGAGGGGTGAGTGAGGGACCGACACGAGCAAGCTGCAGCGACCTGGGAGGACGCACCAACCGGGGGGGAAGCGGTGTGTAGGGTAAACAGACCGGACACCGGGTCCCGGGGGAACGTCGCAAGGGGGGAACCTGAGACAGCCTCAGAACAGACAGCGAACCGCTCGTGCCCGGGGAACGTGGTGGTGACGCCGAGGTCCTGGAGACAGCCGACACCAACCAGGTTCCTGGAGAACGAGGGAACGTGGAGGCCAGTAAGGGAGCCCGAGGGAACTGCCGGACAGGGAAGGGACGTAGAACTGCGCGCGACGACCGGACCCGCAGAGGGGTCAGCGAGAGAGACAACAGCAGGTGCAGCAAGCGGCGTGAGCGTGGAACGGTCGCGGAAGAAGCAGGCAGAAGCACCAGAGTCGAGAGTGAAGGACAGCGACGCAGTGGCGGGGGCCGGGGACGGAGGCGGTGCAGCGACTAGACTAGGCAACCTAGGCAGTCCTACGCCTGTCGCAGCAGGGGAAGCTAAGCTACACAAGGGTGAAACACCTAAACTAGAGTACACAGGGTAGTAAGATCCATCAACACTAGAAGCGTCAGCATACAAAGCATGCAAAGCAGCACCTATCTGATCCATGTCTAACTCAAAGATCAGCACGCCCTGGCGGAGCAGGCTGTGCCAGTCAGGGAGGTCCGGGGCCGGGCCAAAGCGACGACGAAAAAGATCGTCGAGGCGGCGGAAACAGCGGGCGGTCGGGTGCGGGCGGCGGCACAGAGTGCCGCGGAGAGGCCCGGTCTGAAGTTGGTACTGGCAGGTCACAGCACTGGAGCCGCTGGTAGACGCCAAGCTGCGCGGGCCGCCACCACGGCCACCGCCTCCGGAGGTGCCGGGCCAACCAGGCGGGAGACGAG